GCCATAAAGTTTCCTAAGCAACATGGCCACCGTAAAGTCCCCCATGCAAAATGGCGATAGTGACTTCCCTCCATTCACCGTGGCCATGTTTGCTCACTGCTGTTCTCACCTCGAGGCGATTTACTGTGGATAGGGCCGGTGCTGGCTGCAGAGACTCCCTCCCTCCTTGCTCCAGTCGACATGCACATAAACACACAAAAACAATATTGGAGTATGCTCCTCTACACAAACAGACTTCAAATAAACAGTCAGGGTCAGGGTCGAACCCACGACCTCCTGTATACCAAGTGAGGTTGTTAACATCTCGCCACCGTGGTGCCACAGAGTAGTGTACAGGAATCACAAACACTCACTACATCTCGCGGAGGATCATTCCGCGGTTTGGTTCGCAAGTGCGAGTTGTAAGTCGATGTTAAACAAATATATATTTCATGGAAGCTCGTTCGTAAGTGTGGGTGGTGTTCGTAAGTGAGGGTGCTGTTCGTAAGTGAGAGTGATATTCATAAGTGTGGGTGGTGTTGGTAAGTGCTGGTGGTGTTCATAAGTGCTAGTGGTGTTCGTAAGTGATGGTGGTGTTCGTAAGTCGAGTCATCAACTGGGATGTGTTTAGGGGTGACTGCGAAATTCAACCCTTTAGCTAGAACCGATTTTAGGCTGCCGGAAATTGGGCTGTTACTCTGATAACAATCTTGTCACCGTCTAACTTATTCTTAGGTGTTTTCGGTAAAGTCACGTAGGTAATCTGGCTGTGACTGTCCCACCTGATGATGGAGACTTGTGTTGCCTCCGAAACATCGTGATCTTTATTTTATTTTATTATTTTATTAATTTTGATGTTTTACCTACGTGACTTTACCGAAAACACCTAAGAATATGATTCCTTGCAGTCACGAAAGCTTCAAGTCTACCGTCTAACTTGTTAACGTGTGGGTCTGGCTTCTTCTTGGACAGGAGGTTGAACTTGGCAATCAGATTATCTTTGCATTTAGCTGACATTGAGGTGGCTGACGAGGCAGTCATGTTATCTACATGTTCCCAATCAGATATAGACATTTTTTCTGTCAATGTTAAGTGTGATTGCAAGAAAGTCTTGTCTAAATTGTTTAGTTCAAATCGGAGCAATCTTATTCACTCTGAGATCAGGGCTAGGCCAGTCCTGAACAATATCCGTTTAGCATTAGCAGAGGTGACAGCAGCAGATGTCAGTGTAAAAGCGATCGGTATTACCTTAGTATCGCAGTATCTCTTCAGAAAAGTGAGCGACTCGATCAGATGAGCCTTCTTATCTCGAAGTTTGTTAAAATATCTAATAGTTGAGTGGAAACCCTCTCCGTAGAGGTGGTTACAGTAAATCTTAACTTAAAGCTTTTGTGACTGCAGGAATTCATATTCTTTGGGTCTTTCGGTAAAGGCACGTAGATAGAAAAATAATTATCACGACGTTTCGATCGCAACACAAGCAATCGCCATCAGGTGAAAATATAGCGAGAGAGCTGCTGAGGCAGGATGTTATAAAGGTTTGAGATGGGTGTAGCCCAAGGGTCACAACGGGGTGACTGCAAAATTCAACCCTTTAGCTAGAACCGATTTTAGCCTGTCGGAAATTGACCTGTTACTCTGATTGATAACAATCTTGTTTGTCTATGGCAGTATATAGTACGGTGTATGCTGTAAGAGATGTAAGAGAATAAAGTTTAGATGGAAGCATATTATATAATTTTACGACGTAGAATTGTAATGTATTACTTGCTGTGAGTAACTCAGCTTATTGTAGAGTATAGTAAGTATACTGATGGTGCTATGCAGTTTATACCTTAGTTTTTTATGTAGTTTATACTTTAGTTTTCTACGTGGTTGTTTAGTAACTGCAGCTACATACTATTAACATTCCTTTCCTTTGTTAATGCTACTCCCTGCACCCTCCCTTGGTGCTGCTGATCCTGCATAATGCACGGTCATAATATGACTTTGAAACCCCCCCGCCCACCTACGCATTTCCCATGAATATGCTAAATTCCTCTTCATATGCACATTCTTTTTGTTAAGGCGCTCCTCTTGCACCTCCAACCCAGCGTATATATAAGCTCCTAGCTTGGTAGTGTCTCATTCTTCACCTGAAGACGGCTGCTTGCGTTGTAGCCAAAACGTGAGAATTATTTTATTTTATTATGTTTTATTTTTATTATTTTATTACTTCCCTTCTACGTGACTTTACCGAAAGAACCAAGAAGATGAATCTTGTCACCGTCTAACTTTTTCAAGTGTGGATCTGGCTTCTTCTTGGACAGGAGGTTGAACTTGGAAATCAGGTTATCTTTGCATTTAGCTGACATTGAGGCGGCTGACGAGGCAATCATGTTATCTACATTTTCCCAATCAGATGTAAAAAAAATGTAACGTGCAGTTTAGACAGGTTTCCATTTTACTGTAATCTGTAATGTTTTGGGGCTGGTGCCAACCCCCTTTCACATCTCTGCTTGTACCTGAAACGTTCTGTTAATAAAATATTTTTGGAAAAAGTCTTGCAATAGTCGGTGGTTCTTCGTTTTTGGCTGACTATGCTGAGTAATTGCGTGCTGAGAGGTCGGGTGGGCTCCACTGCTTCGAGTGGTTTTGGAGAGAAGTGCTTATAGACCCCGATCCAAACCTGCCACACTGTGACGAGAAGGGTAGCCGAAATTGTTTTTCTCTGATATGGACTATTGTCTTTAAGGTACCACTCTCCCCTATTTTGCCTGGGAACTGAATCACAAATCCATTGCCAGTCTTTTTTTACTCAACGTAGATTCGCATAAATTCTCGCCTCTCACTACCACGCACAAATGCAGCTCTCACGTTAACGACTCCGATCAACAGTGCCAATCATCCTGCAATGTCACCCACTTCCACGACTCTCCCAGGAGGGTCCTGCGGCAGGATGTTTGGCCAGTTTCGCATGGCTTGCGAGGTTCCCACTCATCTATGAATGCCCCAAACGACTGGAATTCCATCGCTTCACAAATATCCACGGTTCCTCTCCAATCTTTTCGCTGTACATTCTCTACAATCACTTAACCTGCTATTCACTAATATCCTCACTTGTTTTACAGATTAGTGTAATAGCCACCTCATTTTTGCATCCATGTAACTTAATTTTAAATTATTCCACTATAAATTCATAATACACGAGTCAACTTTGTCAACATAACTCATTAAATATTTATTTTCGTGCAATAATTGGGATTTCGTAAGTTGCTTTTGGGTCAGATTGATATTTGCTTAATTCTCTACTTTGTCATTTTGGTGACCCAAGTCACTTGCACATTAGACCACATCATGGCCTCTTGAGTTTTCATCTCACCTCGTTAAACAAAATATACTTTACCTTTTGAATGGTTTATTTGTGCAGTGTTGATTGACCATACTTCACTACTGGCAAGTCAGTGGTGGTGAATGGGATGAGGCACAGAAAAAAGCAAGACAGCTTCAGTTGTCGCTTCATGTTCCTGCAATAGGAATACAGATCTTGCACTCGCCGCTCAGAAACCACACCGAGATTGCTGTGTATCTGCACTTTGAGCAGTGAAGCTGGCAGAACTGTGGGGAAAATCACCTCTCCACGCTCCACCTCCAGCAACATTTTTTGACGCCTTCCTGAGGTCAGACTGGGAACCCCATGCCAAATCACACACCAGATGTGCATTGACCAACCCACATCAACATTGGTGCAATGAGAAGCCTGTGTAAACACTAGGCACAATTTTCCTGCAGGACTAATTTACACTGCCACAATGCTTTGTTACCAAGTTTGGTTTTCCAAAAGTCATTCCACGTCGAGCTCACCATCTCTAAACTATTGTTTCTTTTACCAGGTAAAATCCAAAGCAAAGATGTTTCAGAAGGGACCTGGCCACAAATGATAGCGCAGTGGCATGCTGAAATTTACATTGGCCAAATACTCAAAGGGGCATGTTTCTCAATACTGATCAATTTCTTGAACTTTCACATTCGCATTGGAAGTTGGACTAAGTCACCAGAAAATTAGATGGTCACCACAATCTCCTTACACTTTTGTTGTAATGACCTTAATTCTAGCCCACATCCAAAGAAAACGTGCAGACAAAGACAAGCAGGAAGTAGTGCAAGGCCTCCAATTGGTGCAGAGGCCTCCATCGGCGACTGATCAGGAGGCAAGGTTAAGGGATTCAAACTGAAAAAGGCAGGAAACAAAGGTTGAGCCCATCGATGTGAGGGGCTCCAAAGAGCTAAGGGGAGAGCAAAAACATTTCGGGGGGGGGGGGGGAATAGGCATTTCAAGAGTCAGGCAAGTGGGGGCCAGCGTTGCTGTGTAATAAAGACAAGGCTCCAAGTTTGTCCACATCTTTACACTTCCACTAAATAAAAGATTTGAGAAATGTTGATTTAAGTGCAACCCCCCCTCACCCCCATATATCAATGGCTTCTTTAACTGCATATACTCGCTGTAGTTTTTAGTATCTCAGAAGTTTAAGCTCAATTTTACATTCAAATGCCTTCTCGTAGTTCGCAAGGGCTTGGGACAAGGTTAGTTTGGAGTTAAGCGTCACTCCAGGAAGTCAATTTCTAGTCTCAACGGCCACGCTGCGAGGAATATTTAATCTCACTGATCAGGTGCGAGGGTGGCCGTAGGAACGGTTCTCTTTCCAAGATCTTCCTATACATTCGAGGGTGAAGGGAGCATCACCCCTGTTTCTACAGAAATATATTTTAGGGATGTTCCCCACTTTTTTAGGGGGCTAATAACTGGGTGAAGTGCCACCCATCAGACCTGTTTTTAGACAGTAAAGCCCGATCCCTCCTTACATGTCCAAGGTCATTGGGGCGCTCGTGGCTCCTTTTGGGCAAAGACACACAGAGAGGCTCTTCCATTAAGACCACCGCCATTGCCCGAAAAAAAAGTCTGCATCATGAGAAGGGAAATGCATCAGACATTGCTTGCCGGTTCAACTTGAAAAAACACACGATTCAAACCCAGGACCAGTTTGCCAGCAATTTTATTAGTAATATCATTGTATATATTTAAAGAGATTTATTTGGGCTTATCAGCAGAAATGGGCGGGCTACAGGGCCCCTTGGTGAGGAACACGCGCTCCTGGAACGGGGCATGGCCGGCCACGAGGATTCGCGTCCACGTGGCCATGAACGCTTGGAAGTCCACACTGGCGCCTTGGTTCTCGTGAAGATCCCCCATGATCTTGCGCACTTCATGCGGGTCACACGCACCCTGCATTCGTGATACAGGAACACTTTCTGCTACAGTCAATGCACCAATCACTCTGCTCAGTGTTGCAGCAATAGGAATAGGAATCAACATTCTATGGTGGCCATTAATGAGCCCAGTCTCAATCAACCTCTAACAGCGACTACGCGCGCTCAGTCGTTCTTGCAAAACCCAGTGCCACGGCACATAGCACTGCCTCGAGCCGCAGCGGCTCCCAGTGCACACGGAACTACATGGCTCGCGAAACGTTTGCTTGCAGTGTTGTCACCGTGGAGGGCACAGGAAACTCACCGCCAGGTAGGGCCGCATGTGCTTCACGAGCAGATTCTGTAGCACGTGCTTCCTCATGGAGACGCTCCCCGCGCCTCCTTCACAGTTGGCGCAGAACTCGCGCACAAAGATGTCCGTCACAGCGCTCAGATCCTCCATGGCAGCAGCAGACGAAGGCATGACGAGATTCCTTCAGCCAACACGTACATTACATACCAAAATAAAGCTCGCCCATATAGCCTTTTTGGGTGCCCAGACTTTTAGGACAGCTCTACTTGCAACACCCCCCCCCCCCCCCCCCCCCCGCATGAGACTCATAATTAAACACCCTCGCTAACAACCAAACTACCGACGAGTCCGAGCAAGTCGTGTGCAGACAGAGCCATTAGGCGACGCGTGCATGTTACGCAGACAGCGCTTTGCTCTTCCGACGTATGTACAATTTAGCCAAACTGTGCAGCTGCGCTGAGAAAACACTGCGGCACTTTCTCAACGCTCATCACCTTTGTAAATTTGCTACGTCCGAGGAAGAAGTGATGCACATAGACAATTAAATTATTTAAAGGACAAGACTTAAAAGTATGCAAATTATAGGATAAACGAATGTACAAAGGTAGAGCATTCCAGCCGTGCAGCACAGGCACAGCAAATGCCCGCTCACCCCAGGAAGGCAGCTGGGATCGAAGTAGTCGCAGAAGGGTGGGGGATTGCAGATCTTAACAACCTTGACAAGGCGTGTAGGGATGCATCAACCTCATGAATGTGGCACCAGCCATTGCAAGGCCTTAAAAAACTAGTACAAAGCTCTTAAAAATACGCCGCTTCAGGACAGGAAACCAGTGTAATGAGAACCAGAGAAATATGGTCACAATGTGGTTAGGGCGAGTAGCCCAACTGCCACATTCTGAACAATGTAATCTACCAAGAATCTTATTTAAAACATCTACCAGCAAGGCATTGCAATAATCGATTCGCTAGAGAACAAGTGCATGGACGAGCCTCACAATCAGCAAGTACTAGTATGTTGTGCAGTCGAGCACTGTTCGGAGGTTAAAGGTTTTTCACAACCTTGACACGAGCATCGAACGGAAAGGGATGGATCAAATATCACCAAAATAACCAATCATGCTTCGGGCAGACGTTCTGGCCATCAATAACTAGGCTTAAAAGTCCCAGTTTAGTTGTTGAGAGAGCCGAATAAGATAATTAAATCTTACTTTAAATTTAGGTCCAAAAACATTTTTACTGCAACCACGATTTTACAGTTGAAAGAAAATTTTAGATATAGAATATGATGTTAGCCAAAGGCAAACGTGGGCGTCATCTGCGTGGCAATGATAGTGCAGCCCTAGAAAGTGCTCCAATTTGTCATGTTAAATGCTAAACAAAGCAGGACCACGCACCGATCCTTGGAAGTATCCCAGACTGCAACAAAACTGACAGGACTTAAGGCCACCCAATGAAATATGGCTTGGAGGTTCTGCAAACATGAGCAGAATCACCAATCCCATACTATTTTCCAGCCGTAGGGAAGGCCCATGACTGGTTAAGACGATCCTCAGCAGGCATTGATCGATTGGGAATCCAACTCTGGTCGCCGGGTTCACAAATTGTAGCACGCAAACCGCTACAATACCCTTCAGATCTCAAACATAAGCGTGTACAATCCACGCGGCCCAACTGCACTGACCCTACACAACACCAGAATTGCGTTCAGAGGAAGACAAACAAAGAGACAATTTAAAGCAGATGCCTCAATGCCGCGCCAATGCTCGATAACAGGCAGCGCAGAAAAGATTCACAGCAAGGAAGCCACGGATGTCTCCACCCCACTCGAGACGCCGAGAGGAGACGGAACTCACCGGGATCTAGAGGGGAAAAAGAGCGACGATCAGGAACCATTTAAACCGCCTCCCGCAGGGTTTAAATCCTCACCTATGTTGGTGACGTCACCAATTACCGCCTTTACGTGTGCTGATGACGTCACGCAAAATTGTTTGCACCTGTGCTGTTAACAATCATTACATCGACATGTTTTAGTGGCGTCACATGACCCATCGAGTCTCCGCGTGTGAATCTGACCAATTCCGTGCGTCAGCTCATTCAGACGAATTACCTGCCCGAGCGGGGTTATGGAAACGGTGACGATGATAATTGAGGATGATAACGAGAAGGAGGGTGGCTGAGTTTGTCTGTCTCTGTGATGTTCACTATTGTCGTGAAGGCGTCACTCGCTGTTCTGTTGCCAGGAAACTTGATCACAAATCCAATGCAAGTTTTGTTATTCAGCGTCGATTCGCCTGAACTCTCACCTCGCCACGTGATATGCCAGCAGCTCGCGTCTCTCACTGCCGCGCACAGACGCAGTTCTCGCGTTAACGACTCCGATTACCGCAGCGCCACTCCTCCTGCAGTGTCACCGAGTCTCACTAATCTCTCCCAGTATCCTGCGCCGAGATGTTTGGCCAGTTTCACATGGCCACACGTGGTTCCCAATAATCTGGGAATGCCCCAAACGCCTGGAATTCGAACGCTTCACAAATGTCCGTGGTTTCCCTCCCATCTCCATCGCAATTCGATGCCGAGCTGTCGATTCTTGACGATAACTTCACCTGCAATTGCTCGTGACTCGAATATCCACGCGTGTTTACAGTTGAGTGCAATAGCCACCTTATATCTGTTTAATGTTCATGTTACTTGTAATTATACCACGATCAGTCTAAAATAATCGAATCGACTCAGGCTACAGAGAATGTATAAACCATTAATTATGAAAATGCAATATTTGCGGTTTTCATGGGACGTAGTTTTCCTTCAATCACTTTTTAAATCCTTTATATTAAGTTCGCTTGCTTGCTTGCGTGCTTGCTTGCTTACGACCGTGCAAATCTTTCGGTCGTTTTTTTACCCACTTCCCGTGATCCAATCGAGCTGACATTTTGCACACAGACTCGTTGTGTGAGACAATTAATGTTCGTGAAAAAAAAATTCTAAATTTTTACACTGTTTAGGGAAAACAAATTAAATATTTAATTACCAATTGCTTAATACTGGCAGACAATCATCTGACCCATAGGTGGCAAGCCATCTCAAGCCAGAGGACGAGAAGACTCTAGCCGCCACGAATATAAAGGATTTATAGTGAAAACTTTGTTTTTAACGGGTTATACTTATTAGCTTCATTGCTGTAAATTACTTATGTTGCTTAGATCACTCTTAAAATCCAATAGCTCAACTGCGCCATCGTGTCATCACCAACGTCATCATCTTAATTACAGCACAATAAGAAGGACGTGCATTAGACGCTGCTGGCACGATTTTGCGTTTCCATTTACACTGCCACGTTGCTTTATATCACAAAGTTCGGTTTTCCAAAAGGCACTCAACGTTGATCTCCATTAATTTTTTTTCAATAACATTGAAAATTGGAACAACTTTTTTATTTTTTTACTTTTACAATTTTAAAAATGTTTACCAATTTTTTTAACGTAAAATTTCGAACAACAATTGTCCATCTAACCTTCGAGATTTTTTTTTGCATTGCTCGCAGGTAAAATGAGGTGCCCAGGGTTTGTCTTGATTCCTGACAGGCATGCCGAAATATGCCTTGTCGGCCTCACACATCTTAGCAGATGCTTCCACAGAGTAAATTTTCGCTCTTGTCTTGATAAAGTGGCTGCAGACATAGCAAAATGCGTCTACCAGATGCTTGCAGCCTCTTGATACCATCTCAGAAAAATGCAGATATGTATCCACTTACCCAGCTGGAATTAAACTGAACTGATCGGCTTAAGGCCCCTGTATTTATACTACTATTAATATTACTGGAAAGTTCTAGAATGTTCTAGAAGTTACTCCAAGTTTACGCAGCACTAAATCTATCTGGAATGTTCTGGAAAATAGGTACATTTCAAAATATAAATGTCCTGGTCACAAAAGCAAAGTTTGTGGAGAATAATAGCCATTTTCTCTACTTTTGAGGCATAAGCAATTAGGAAATAACACTTACTACCCAGAAACAAAAAAAAGTGTTACACAGTGGTATCTGCGAATGCTCCAAACGCCTAAAATTATATCGCTTTGCAAATGTCCTTGGTTCCCCTCCCATCTACATCGCAACTTGATGCTGAGCTGTCGATTCTATATGGTAACTTCACTTGCAATTGCACTTGGCTCGAATATCTTCACCTGTTTTCAGATTAATGTAATAGCCATCTTTTATATGTTTAATGTGATCAGTCTAAAATGATCTACCCGAGCAGACTTCTGTTGCAGGGAATTGTGAAACATTTTAGATGTTTCGTGTTGTTATTGTTCTGATTGCCCTTTGCTTAATAGCTGTTCATTGTTTTGTGGCTGAAATTCTCGTTACCTGGGTTATGTTTTCTAATCAGGCCCTCCATGGTCTCTTGAGTTCTCACCTAGTTACACAAATTGCACTCGACTCGAATGCTTTTTCAACGAATCTCTGGATGTGCCGTGTTGATTGACCATACTTCACCAATGTGATAAGTCGGTGGTGAATGGGATGTGCGAGGGGGGAGGCAGGACCTTTTCAGTTGTCGCGTCATACCCCTTCAATACCAGCACAGATCTCCCATTTTCTAGTCCCTCTCATGGACACCACACGGGGTTTATCGTTGCCTGCAGCTGCACGTTGATTGGAAACGGAGTGGCACCGAGTATTGGAGTAACCGGAGCTGCGGGAAACATCACAACCCGAGTGAAGACTCTCCAAATTCCACCTTCAGCAGAACAACTTCTGAAGGCGTCCTCGAGGTCAAACACCTGGGAACCCCACGGCAATTTACGTGCCAGATCTGCCTTACTTCTCCACGTTGACCTCACTTCCTCTGTTTAAATCATAAAACAGTTTATTTTAATAGGTAAGGCCCACTTAACTATTGTGTTCTTTTTCAGAAGCACAAATGGTAGCTCAATGAAGTGGCTTATCAAGTGGAAATTTATAGCCGCCAAATGCTCAAGCGCATGTATCAACATGTCTAGGAGAAAACCGAAAACCCGGAAAAAAAATCATGGGGAAGACAGAAACGCAAACTCTACACATACAGCAGGCGTCAGGGTTGGGATCGAACCCATGACCTCCTGTATATCAGGCAAGGTCGTTAACGTCTCGCCACCGGAGCACCCCTTTCACAATTGTTTACAACTTAAACCTCGCTCGGGCCTTCAAAACAGTCTGCGATGTTTCCCAGCATGTTGCTCGCGACCTTTGTTCGGCTCATTTAAGAGCCCAACTTTTGGGCTTGTTGATTATCTCTTGCAGTTTCACATTCATTCATATCCCACGTTGGAGTTTCATCAGAAAATCAGAGGCAATACCCTCTTCATTTTCCCGTGCCTTTGTTTCCACCAATAACATCGTTGGAAAACAAATGCTAATGCCCGGTGACCAACGTTTGTTAAAGTGAGATACCCCCTCGAATAGCGAGTCTTCATCTGCATATCCTTGGTATCACCCCATTCCCACCGAAGTTGAAGCTCCTCCATTTAGACATTCAACGGCCTTCTCGTAGCACAGAGCTTTGGACAAGAGCAGTCTATAGTTATGCATCGCTCGAGTAACTTTGTATAGTGTGAACGGGCACGCTGGTAGAACACTTTCCAAATCCGAAAGCTCAGGTGTGAACTTGGCTGCTTTAAAATTCCGATTCTTTCCAACATATGCCTATACATCGTTAATGAAAAAAGGGGAGAGGGCATTCCTTCACAGTTGGCTCAGAACTTGTGCACGAAGATGTCCATCACAGCGCTCAGATCCTCCATGGCGGCGGCAGATGAAGGCATCACGAGATTATCACTGAACACAGTGTACATTAATTTTACACAAGATGAAGCTCGATCTCCGATATAACCTTTCGACTGTTAGCAACAAGAATAGCACACGAGGGGGTAGATCGCCAGCACCACGCCCCGCGACCTTTGCTTCCCACGTTGAGGGGTGCACACACCAAGTGCTCATTTGCGGTCACGTCGACCTAGAGAAGGTCCAGGACTCGTTAAGAAAAAGCTTTATCTGGTGTTGGCCCCAATTGGGAATCAAACTCGGGTCGCATAGTTCAAAATCGCAGCGCACAAACCGCTCAGATCCACACCACAAGCGTGTATGTGGGGGCCGTTGGCCCCCGGGGTCCCTCCCGCCTGCATCCCCTATTCCGTTTACGTTACCCCACCTCCCTATTACCCGCTACGGTTTCGCCGGCATTCGAACGCGACACCCCTACTGTTACAGCCTCGCGCCGCGCTCCCACGCTGCGAGCATACGTGCGCACATCATCGTCAATCAAACGCCGTGCTCGCAGTATAGCCCTGTGCGGCACGTTACCAATGCGCATCCGTATCCGACACGTAACGAACGTACGCACACACACACACACCGCTCCGTGCACTCCAACTCCACACCGACTACGCAAGTTATGATCGCGCACCTGTATCACACACGGAGTGAACACACGCGACACCCACTCTCGCACCGCTCTGCGCAGTGCTCCCCCTAGGCGAGCCGCAGCACTACAGAATCACTGCGTACACACGCGCACACTGCACGACAAGATCACGCGAGACCACGCTTCGCTATTAATGATTTATTATCCGCTACCTGGAACTAGATGTTAAATCAGTGATTTAACATCTGCGCTGAACAATGGGCTCGTGCACCCCGAGCCCGCGCACGGCGGTTCCGGGCGCTTTTGATCTGCTAATCAGTGAGCGGCGCTGGCGGCGTACATCCTAATTACTCCCTTACCCTTCCTAACAATGGGGCCTGCGCGCTCAAGCGTAATTATGCCGTCCCTCCGCTGCCGGTGCGGGGGTGCCTGATTATGCAGTTCAGATGCGCTGCGTGTTTTCTAATGATGCTCCTCCATCACAATGCTTATTCCCTCTGCCTGCCCCGTCGATACTGGCGTGTGTGGGGGGAAATGCGCCTCAACCGCGGTGGCCGAATGCCCCACGCCGCGACCATACCATATTAAGGCCGGTCGCAGCGCCGCGGCGCAACGTAGCACGGGGGAGGTCATCCAATTCCCTGATCGCCGGAAACCGTGAGAGTTGATCCCGATAAGGGTTTCTCGGATAAAAACCGGTCGGCCAGGCGACCTCCCCTCGGAGCTCTATGGGGGGGGGGGGGGAAATGAGTGCGGGTGTGTTCATGTGAGGTGAGGTGAGGGAGACAAGGGGTCGGCTCCGTTGCTTGGTGGTGGCGAGGTCGGAGATTTGGCGCCTGCCGAACGGCTTCGTGGCGGCGGCATCACATAGCCCCCCGAGGTGCCAGTCC